CAAAAACAAACAAAACAAAACAAAACAAACAAACAAACAAAGAAATAAAAGAAAACCATGGCCCCAGATCCTGCTCAGTGGGTAGTGGTTGCCTAGCAAGGATAAACCTGCTGTGAGATAAACCTTCTGTACACAGTGAATATATACTCCTCTCATTGATTAATAAAGAAACTACCTTGACTTATATCAAGGCCAGGCAGGAAAGCCAAACTGAAAATACAGAGAGGAGAAGGGCAGAGCCAGCCGCTGGAGAAGCAAGATGTTAGAAAACAGGTAAAGCCACAAAGCTACACTGCAAAATATAGATGGACAGAAATGGGTAATTTAAGTTGTAAGAGCTAGTTAGTAATAAACCTGAGCTATAGGCCAAACATTCTGTAATTAATATAAGCCTTTGTGTGATTATTTGAGACCCAGTGGTCAGGACAAAAGTTCCACATCTATTTACCTAAACCCTAGGTCCTATCCACAACACTGTAGACAGCGAACATGGTGGATCACGCCATATTCCAGCATTTGGGAGGCAGGGGCAGGAAGATCAAAAACTCAAGGTAATCTTCAGGTGAGTTTAAGGCCAGCCTGGACTATGTGAGAGCCCACCTCAGAAATGAAATAAAAAATAGTAAGATTAAAATGGTTGGGGCTGGAGAGATGACTCAGTAGTTAAGAGCACAGGCTGCTCTTGCAGAGGAATTCAATTTGATTTCCTGCACCCACATGGAGGCTGTCTGTTCCCCTCTACCTACTGAAGACAACAGGCACACATGCGGTGAACATACATATATGCAGGCAAAACACTCATACACATACAATTCTTTTAAGGTTAGAAAATATTAAGCTAGACACATGGTAACACACACCTGTAATCATAGCATTTGAGAGACTGAGACAGGAGGATTGACCCAAGTTTGAATCAAACTGGACCACATAGCAAGGCTGTTTCAATCTCCCCATCTCACACACTCAATTGAATTAAAATACACCTAAAAGCGTAGAGTGCTTCTTTGCCTAGCTCATGCATAATTAAAATAAAATTATTAATAATAGGCAGCAGAGCAGGAAAATGGCTCATCAGGAAAAAGTACTTGCTGGGAAAGCCTTGAAACCTGAGTTCAGTCCTTGATGCCCATAGAGGAAGAACCAGCATTGTCCTCTGATCTCCACACACGAATGCCTACACACATCATAGACACACACATGCAACAGTCATTTTTTAAAAATATAGCCAAGTGGTGGTGGTACATATGGTGGTACATATCTTCAGGCGAATCTCTGCGTTCAAGGCCAGTCTGGTCTACAGAGTAAGTTCCAGGACAACCAAGGTTACACAGAGAATCCTGTCTCAAAAAAACAAAACTAAAAACCAAACAAACAAGCAAAAAAAACCCCACCCCAATATATGTACACACACACACACACACACACACACACACACACGGAAGGATGGGTTAGCTTGGCAGCAGAGTATATTCGTTGCCTCCATGAATGAAAATGAGGACATGACTACTCCTAGGTATGGTTGAGGAGGTTTTTATTGTAGATCTGAGAAAGTACAGACAGAAGGATCTGGGAAGAGTCCAGACTGAACTGGGTTGGGCCATAATAGAAAAGAAGAGCGAGCGGGGAGAGAGGCCAAGCAGACTAAGAGAGAAGTTGAGGACCAAGAGAAGAGAACCAATGAGAAACTGGAGGAAGGGAAGCAAAGTCCCGCCTCTGGGCTAGAGAGTGAGGGTAGGGGGTGGGGCGGGTCGAGAAGTTTCCACTGTTAGTAACTCACTGGATTTGGTCCACTTGACAGTTTCCACACTTGTCGGGCACGGTGGCCCAAGATCCCCGTTTACCAGCTTACACTAGCAGGCGTGGCCCCAGAGGCTGTATTTTCAGATGGAGGGAGCCTGTAGGAGAACCTGGGCCGAAGTGGGAGGGGCAGCTCTGAACTGGAAAGAAAGGCCATTCTCCCAGCCCAGAAGGAAATGAAGGTCCCCAGGAAGAGAGCAAGGGACACTCAGTCTCATTGGGACTGCTGGGCTCCACTTCTTAAAATCTATTCAGACTCAAAGCCCCCAAAGGGAAACAACGACGTGAAGTATTTCCCCATCCCTGGAGTGTTATCAGTGGGAGATGTCAACACCTGAGGACTCCAGAGGTCAGAGACTCAGCCAGTCCAACCCTAGCAGCTGGCATCAAGGGAACCTCGGATATCCTTCAGTTGGGGCGCAGAAGTCCTGTCCCTGCTGAGGAGTCTCATTTCCCCCAAAGGTACCCAATGCCAGTTCAAAGAGGGCCCTCTCAGCCCCTTTCTCCCAATTCTTGCCCTTACTTCTCCCAGATACAGGTTGACTTCCTCCTACTTCCTGGGTCCCCTGGGGCCTCAGTCTATTGCCTGGCTCCCTTCTTCCACCCAAGCCTCTGTAGAGCCCTTTCTGCCTATTCACAATCAGCTTCTAAATGTAGCCAAGTCTCTCAGTAAATATCCATCTACATACACCCACACACACAAAGGAAAATTAAATTAAAGAATCTGCTCCTTGTGGGGGGTGGGGCGGAGCCTAATTGCTAGACTGCTAAATTGCATGAAGCCCCAAATTTGATGCTCAGCACTCCAAAAACCTGGACACTGCGGTCCCATCATTCTGGGAGACAGGAGAATTGGAAGCTTAAGGACCACCTTAACACTACATAGTGCGTTAGAAGCCTGTATGTGCTGCCTGAGACTCTATCTCAAAACAAACCAAAAAAAAAAAAAAAAGCCTAAACAAACAAACCCATAGAACTCAGCTCCTGGAGCTGGGGACAGCTTAGCAGTTAAGAGCACTTGTTGCTCTTACAGAGAACCCAGGATTGATTCCCAGGAACCACACGGTGACGACTCTCAAGTCCCAGTTTAAGAGGAGTGGATACTCTTTTTGACTTCCAAGGACAGCAGGCACCAGTGGGGTTCACATACATACAAGCAAAATGCTCAGACACAGAAAGAAAATAAATAAATCTCAAAGCAAACCACCACGGCAAAAACCCCAGCTCTTCAGACATGCCCACGTAGCAGCAGGAGCAGAAAGCTAAACTACAACAGAGAAGGAACCGTTTGTGGAAGGCAGGACAAGGGGCAAAGCCATCACTGAAGAGCTGGCACCGCTGGAAACATCGCACAAACCCTTGGTTCCTCCTTTTCATTTCTAGGGAAAACAGAGATACACCCACAGCCTGAGGAAGTGTGCCAAGGCTCAGGGTTTCAGCGGAGCCAGCTGGGAGACATTCTTATTCTCACACATTGACCAGTTAATTCTTTTCCGGGGAAAATCCAGCAATGTGTACATGTATGCATTTATTAGAATGTAACAGTATCTAGGTGGGCACAGCATGGGGGGGCGGGGGGAGGGCCTTTAATCCCAGCACTCGGGAGGCAGAGGCAGGCAGATCTCTGAGTTGGAGGTCAGTCTGGTCTCCATAGACTTCCAGGGCAGGCAGGGCTACACAGTGAGACCCTGTCTCAAAACAAAAGGTACCAGTAGCTAAAAGAAACAAATGCATTAGAAAACAATAACCAGAGCAATTGAGGTGGCTCGGTCAACAAAGGTGTTACTTTGGGTCACTGATGGTATGGACTAGGATTTCCATCCCCACCCAGACCAGGCTGATTTGGGCTGATGCGGTAAGTTACAGCCACCTACCTGACCCTGCCTACCCTGGGCCATTCATCACGCCTCCCACTGAATCACAACCTCTCTCTGGGACTAATCCTGCCAACCTAGACAGCTGCAGGGCCATAACTGACACAAAGAAACAAAGTAAACCCAAGAGAATTTCCAGGTAGGAGCCCTCATACTGAGCGGTTCAGGCAGGGACCAGCACATGAGCCGCTGGAAAAACGTTTTCAAAAACAAAATAACAAAAAAACCCAGGAGGCCGGGACTCCCTCCACCCAGCTCCAGTGTATTTAGGCCTTTGATTTGAGGACTTTCCTTTGTGGGATTTCCGCTTAAGAAGCGCGTAGGTGGCTTTAGGAACCCACACAAGATCAGAGGCTGGGGTGATTGCGTGTGCAGTTGAGGGGCTGGGGCAGCCCTACTATATCGGATTCCTCATTCTTTAGCAGAAAGCAGGAAGGTCAGAGCGGTGTTGGGGGAGAGGTAGGCACTTCGGAACCGGGTGGGGTTGCAGCAGCTAGATTGCCCTGGACGTGAGAGATTAGAGGGTCCACGAGGAGACTTTTAATCTCCAGCAAACGAGAGGTTCAGCAGAATGACAAGCAGATGAGAACTTCTAGCCCCATGCAAGGAAACTGAGGTTAGGGGGCTCGCCCTAACTGAAGAAGCGTAGATAGGATCTACGTAGATCTCCCAGCCGCAGCTTCTTCCAATCCCATCAGGCTTCCAATCCCACCTCAATTGTTCTCATCTGGAGAAGAGGCGAGAGCGCGCTGATCCCCGGACCGAGCGCTGGGATCAACGGCTCCATGCCGGCTTTCCTTGCTATCCAGCTCTTTCCCAGCCTATCCCTTCCACCTGAAGACCCTTCCCCGTGCGGCGGGTCCGAGGCCGGAGCATCCGGAAAGCCAGCGCCGACTCCTGGCCCGCAAGCGCGCGATGGTCCAGTTCTCTCCAGGACTCGCCCCGCCACGGCCTCCCAGATATCCTGCGCGCCCAAGGTCGCCGAGCAGCACTTTGGCAACGGGCTTCGGATCCCCAGTCGATCCCCTCCCCGGTGGACCTCACCCACCAAGATCCGACGGGGCAGCGGGGTGACTCTCGGAACCCTAGCCGGCCCAGACTAGCCCGTGCAGGGCTCAACTTCGGGGCGCAGCTCGGGTACAGGCGGTGATGGAGGGACCACAGCGCGGAACTGATGCGCGGACAATTGTCACCTGTGGAACAGGTGGCCGGGCGGGGACCCGGGTCTCTGGGGCCTCGAGGCTTACCTCCCCGCCATGCTTAGATCAGGGGAGCCCTGGATCCCAACGAGTACTCCCGCCCGCTGCCTTGACCCCGAAACCCAAGTACCTCTGGCTCCCGCGGCGGCGGGCAGCTACTGCGGCCCTGGAGGGCGGTGGCGTGAGCACAGCGGACAGGAGCGCCGCCCCTCCAGGCCTGGGCGGGGTCAGTCCGCCCTGCCCCGCGGGTCCCTGTACAACCTTTCGCTTGAAGCTTGTCGTCAGTGTCGGGAGCTCGGAGGGGGTGGGGCGGGGGGTGTTGACTGATCGGGGACCACGACCTGAGTCATCGCTAGCCGGTAACCAACAGGTGTGAACCGCTTTCTGAGCCTCCGAGCCACCCACGCTACACGGCACGCAATCCTATTCTGAGACCCTCGGGTTCTCTCTCTAATCCATGCTGCGCTCGAACTCCTAGCAGTCCTCCTGCCTCAGCCTCCCAAGCGCTGGGAAGACAGGAGTGAGTCCCCAACCCGTGGTTCCGTTTTCTCATTTTAACAGATGAAGAAAAAAATCAAAAACAAAAATCCAGGCTCAAAGCGGTTTGGGTAGTTACTTGAATGTTCTGCAGTTGAGAAGGAACGAGTCTGAACTTGAGTCGGCCTGAGGCCACTTCCCAGCGTCTATTGAAAACACTCTCCACTCCCTGGCCTGCTGTGATCCAGGAAAGGGCTGGGCCCACTGCAAGCTGTCCCTTAGAGGCAGTTTCCCAGCCAGCTCTCCTCCCCTGCTGGATGTCCGCCCCAATTCGTCACTCTCACCACACAAATCGGCGTCCAGGACTCTGAGAAAATGGAAACACCCTATCCTGACTCTCAGAACAGTCTGGGTAAAGAGGTTTTGAATAAGTGAATCTGTAGACAACTCTCATCCCCCAAACCCGGTTCTGACATTACCCAGCTCTTGGGTGTGCCCACCCCTTCTTTTCCAGGAGATCCTCAGCCTCCAGCTGACAGCCATCTGGCCAGCCTGCCCCTCTCATTCCCATTAGTGCTCCTTACTCCAGGGTTTTTATTTTGTTTTGGATTTTTCAGACTGGGTCTCATTTTAGCCCACAAATTTCTTGGTAATGGATATATGTATAAACCATCGTGATTAAACTAGTGACTTGCCTCTGCCTCACAAATGCTGGGAAGACAGGTTTTTCCCACCTGAAAACCCAAATAATGCCATGCATAACACTACACACCTTTAAACTCGGGAGGCAGAGGTTGGCAGGTCTCCATGAGTTCAAGGCAACTTGGTCTACGTAGTGAGCTCCAAGACCACCAGAGTTACACAGTGAGACCCTGTCCCAAAACGACTACATACACAAACAGACCCTCAGACAAGGGTCTGGGAAGATGACTAGCTTGGAGAAAGTGTTTATTAGACAAGCATGAGATTGAGTTTGAGTCCTTCCATCCATGTTAAAAAAAAAAAAGTCCCCGCAGGGTGCAACTGTAATCTCCATATTTGGGAAGACAGTTGTCTAACTCAGTGACATCTAACTCTTGGTTCAGTGACATTCTGTCTCAAAAATTAACGTTATTGTCATCCCAGCACTCAGAAGGCAGAGGCGGACAGATCTCTATGAGTTCCAGGCCAAACTAGGGCTACAGAGTCGGGGGGGGGGGGCCCAGAGGGAGAAGGGTTAAGGGTTGAAGATACCCTCAGCAGTTAAGTGTTTGCTGTTCTTCACGAGGAGCCAAGTTTATTCCTAGAACCCACATCAGGTGGTTTACAACAGCCTGTACCTCTAGCTACAGGGAATCTGGCGCCCTCTTCTGGATTCTGAGAGCACCTGCACCCACACATGCACACACACACACACACACACATACGAATTTTAAAAAATCTTAAGAAGACTGTTGGTTTGATGTAGACTGGTGCTGAGACATACTGCCCTTCAGATAAACTACATTAGCAGAGGTTCGGAAGCCATGACAGGGTCTTGAAGGAAGGACGCCTTCAATCCCAGAGAATAAGGGTTTCTTTCTTTCTTTTTAAGGTTAATTTTTATTTTATGTGTGTGTGAGTGCTTCTTGCCTGTATGCGTGCGTGTCTGTGCACTGTGTGAATGCCTCGTTCCCACAGAGACCAAAAGAGGACATCAGATCCCTTGGTACCAGAATTATAGATGGTTGTGAGCCACCATGTGGGCGCTGGAAACTGAGCCCAGGTTCTCTGTAAGAATAGCAAGTGACATAACTAGTGAGCAGAGGCAGGTGGATCACTGTGAGTTCGAGGCCAGTCTCATCTACAGAGCAAGTTCCAGGACAGCTAGGGCTGTTACCCAGAGAAACCCTGTCTCAAACAACAACAACAACAACAAAACAAAAAAACAAAAAAAAACAAAAAAAAACCTAAAAATAAAATAAGAAAGGAAAAAAAGAGAGGGAGGGGAGGTTTTAATTTTTATTATTTTAAAGATTTAACAGTTATCCATCTTCAGGCTCCTCAAGTTAAGTTGAGGTTTAAGTAAAAGCCAGAGTCATCCCTATCTCAGCAGCTGTCAGTCAAAGTGTGGTCCCGCCTACTGCGGACCATCCTTGTCTCTCCTGTGTGGTGAATCACCACTTGTCAGCCAGCATGGTGACTCTTTCTGAGAGAAAAGTTTTCCCGGGGCTGACCCTAGTTCATGACCTTCTTCTCTCCCAGCACAAATTTCCTGGAAGGAAGTAGGTGTTTTTTAGGGTTCATTGCTTCAATAGTCTGATTGCCAAAGTGTCCCTTTAGAAAGGTTTCATCCCTGCTATGCCTGTTATAATGCCTGGAATCACCAGGTGGCAAGGCACTAGCTAAAGTCAACTTATAATTTGAGATCGTCGTGGGCCTGGGTTGAAGGTGGGGAAGGGTTGGGAAACAGACTGCAAGGCCAGACTAGACTGGCTTATCAATTTTCTCCTCCACCAGAGAGCTGCGGGGGAGGGGGGGTGGGGTGGAAGGGGGGCTGGGAGGGGGAGCGGCTGTGCACAGGGTCTGTAACCTAACACCCAGAGGGTAAATGGTTAAAGTTTACCCAGACCCTCTGCAATGAACAGGTTTTGGGAGCCCTGGGAAGGCCTCGAGGTGATACCATCTTAGCAAGCCTGGAAGCATGCGGGGCTGAGGGCAGGTGTTGCACCCGCCTGCCTAAGTTTCTCCAGGGTGAACAAGAGGACTCGAATGGACGCTTTAGGAGGGACGCTGAGGTGCCAGGAAAGAACGGGTGTAGAGATGCTGAAACTCTGGCTGTGGAAACGGTCTAGAGTCCCATGTGTGCTCACATGGGGGTTTGGGAAGGGTTTCCCAAGGCAGAGAACGAAGTGATTCAATTTTGAAAAGATCCAGGGGCTGAGGGCGGAGCTTCCTGGTGGAGCTTGCCTAGGCTGGAGCAAAGGTAAGGCCCTGAGTTCCAGCCCCTGCGCTGCAAAAGAGAAAAGGAAATGAGGTAAGGTCTCCCGCTCTGCCCCCCGCCCCACCATATGCTCAGGGGTCTGATCTACAAGAGCCAAATAGTTCTCTTACCACTGAGGAAGTGCTCCTGAGTAGGAGGTGGAGGGAGGGGAAAACAAGCCATTTGGAAACACTTTGAAAATGTTTTATCCTGCAATAGGGATGGGTCTCAGCGGCAGAGTGCATGCCTAGCATGTTTGAGTCCTGAGTCCAATCCCCAGCCTATATAAAACAGGTATGGAGGTACACAATTTTTTGTTTTTCTGTTCTGGTTCGGTTTGGTTTTGGTTTTTAGAGACAGGGTTTCTTGAAACAGCCCTAGCTGTCCTGGAACTGGCACTGTAGACCAGGCTGGCCTTGAACTCCCAGAGACCCGTCTGCTTCTGCCTCCCACGGGCTGGGATGAAAGGTGCGCACCACTATCATCCCGCGGTGGTGCACGCCTTTAAACTCAGCGCATGAGAAAGACCAGAGAATCAGAAGTTAAAGGTCATCCTAGGCTTCCTAGTGGATTCCAGTCCAGCCTGGAGTAGATAAGACCCTCTCTCAGAAAAACAAATCAGAGCTGGAGACACAGCTCAGCGGTTAAGAGCATTTGCTAAATGTTGCAAAAGCAAAGGGGCAGATATGTGTAGTTGGTACAACAAAAGCTATATTTTTATCATGCCGAGGGTCTCCACACTCTAAATTCCTAACTACGCTCCCAAGCCTGTCTCTCCATGACTGCTCACCCGTCTCCAAGGTTAGGTCCAGTCTCTAGCAGAAGTCTCTGATCCGAGGGCCCTGGGGATCCTCTCCACCCGCAGGGCAAATCAAGGTGGCATCTCTCCAGGTGTGCTGCAGAGCATTGCTCTTGGCCTCTGCTTTTGTATACTGTCCAGTGGGTGTCATGGGCATCCAGTCTTGGTTCTCATTATCTTGAGTAAGTGAAGTCCCTGGGTTCCAGTTATCAGGTGCAGCCTTGGATGTACTGGGGAGCCTAACTAAGCTATTTTTACATGTCTAAAAGGCCTTTTTTTACTATGTCCATTATGGTCCTTGTGGCATAAAAAGTGTCAATGAGGACCACACATAAGAATGCTTAACATCATAGTTCCACGGCAAACTGCAAATTTAGGCCAAAGCAGGCAAAGGAGAAAGCATACAGCGAGACAAATGGAAGGAGAGAACTCTCAGCCAATGGAACACACAGTGGTTGAGCAAAACACGGCGAAGCAAGTGTCTGATGTCACATCACAGGACACTGCAGTGATCTCTACAGCACACGCGTATTTTCCCAAATTTGTATGTACTTCCTCGGGGTGTGGTATGTGCCAGGCGGAAAACCCCATTCAGAAATAAAAGGTAATGCAATCACTTTCAAACAAAAATGTTGTGGAGTAAATGGTACCTGTACCATCCGTACTACTACGTGTACTACGGTACTACGCCTGTAGTGCGGAGCCTGCACTATAGGACCATTCGCGAGCCGGGCAAGGGCCTAGAGATTTAAACACACAAAGACACAGAGGCATGGGTCATCCTCGAAACAAGAATGCTCCTTTATTGTGTACCAGAGCCACTTATTTATGGATCCTTAACTGATAGCCACGCCCCAGCCAAACCCACCAGAAACCACTCCCCCGCCAGCAGGAACTCCTGAGGGTCTCATGCTCAGAGTAGCTACAAACAGGAAAAAACAAGTTGTTTTGCTAAGAGCAGCTACAAGCGTAACAGGTTGTTTACAGGAAATTCAGGGTCTGGGTACTCAGCAGGTGTGGGAGCTGTAGGGCTCTGAGATGAGCCACTGAGCCGAGCATCATCCTGACCTAATCAGAATCAAGCACGTGGGTCATGGCCGTGGGACAGGTATTTCTCCTTTTTATTAATGAAAAGAGCACCTACGAGTCCAGTGAGTTCGTCATTCGCTTCCAGTGCTGTTTTCAGCTTTGTGTTTGCTAATCTTATGGAAAATCAAGAGGTGGGTATAGAGCACCAGCAAGTCTGGCGAGTCTCCAGAGGTGCCCGTCTTGGGTCTGAGACCAGGCTATACAGATCATCTCTTCTGGAAAAAAATGGCATTTATTTGGTGGGGTAGAAGCAAGAATCTAGACTACAACTCTCCTGGTGTAGCCACGGAGAAGAAACATCTCCTGAAGAAGTTTCTTCAATCACAGTCTGCACAGATGTGTCTGCTGGAATCGTGCATGGCTGGTTTGCTCCTCCAGACAGTCTCTGG